ATATACTAACTATAGAAATGGATAATATCTCAAATGACATTGATTTTTTTAGCTTACCTTGAAAATCTGATGTCATAATCACTCATTTTCACAATAGTTTATACTGAGCCAAATTAACACGAATGAAGAAACATATTTGTGTTTCATTATATTGACAGTGTTAGGTATTTAGAAATACATCCACAGGTGGCGCTTCTAGGAATTTAGCCAGGGACGTACCCTTCTATTAGGACGTTAGGGAAATCTGGGTTAATTTTCTGTCTATTTAGAATTATTAGAATTATATCATACTATCTGTGATGAATCAAAGCTGCAAAAATTGTTGTCATTACAACAATTGTGATGGCAATGAGTAACCAAAAACTCAAATCCCATGGTGAGGAAATGCGTAGTTGCCAAGTTAATGAGGATTTAATTTAATTTTAGTTTAGCTGTTGCCATGGGAACGTTTGTCATGGTATAACGACTAAACAAAAACTCAAATCTCGTTATTAGGATATGTGTAGTTGCCACGTTGTAGACGATTTTCACTTTAGCTTTGATAAAATCAGTTATGGAGAAACTGCTGACATAAGAACACTTGTCATGGTAACGACTGAACATAAATCCAAATCTTGTAGTGATAAAATGCGTATTTGCCAAGTTATAGATGATCTAATTTTACTTTAGTTTAGCTAAAATCAGATATGGAGTAACAGTTGCTATGGGAATGCTTCTAATGGTAATAACTAAATAAAAACCCAAAATCCTGTGATGAGGAAATGCGTGGTTGTCAAGTGTTTGACGATTTATTTTTTTTTTCTAATCGTAATCTTTTTGAATTTTAGATATTCATCTTCGTGTATAAGAAATTTTTAAAATATCATGTAATAGTCTAAACAGATGCCTATAGGTTGCGGTACCAAGCGGAGTAAATTTGCACCCATTTTTTTTTATTTTTTCGGTGTTCTCTAGACTCTATGTAGTCGTATATTAAAATTGTGGATAATTTAAATTTAAATAGAGCAGAAAGTCAATTAAAAGAAACAAGTTTTAAAAATAATTTTAAAAACTGACTTAAAAAGTCAGTTTGACGATTTTTTTATGGATCCTATCACCAAATCTTGATCATGGGGCCACCCCCGAGGTATCCCCTTTCTAACAAATAAAGAGTCATAGAAATCGGACAACATTGTAAGGAATTATCAAGGGTAATATTCCAAGACCTTGATAATAGTCGGCTATTTTTTGTTGAATCTAAATCTCGAGAACATTTTAATATCAATTTGTTGAGACATCATTTTTGGCATTAATAATAAACGAAAAGCTCCTATAAACGTGTGTGATAGATTGTGTCGTTTATGAGATACAGGGTGTTGACTTTATGATTATTTTAATAGAAGTAATAAATTGTGGTAAACATAAAAGTAGTATTACATTTCATAGCAGCTAAAATACAAGCATCCGCTTGACGTCTGATGAATTGCCGAATACGTTCGAAGAGGCCAGGATTGTTGCGAATAACATTACAGCCTTGTAGGAAACCAGTAGCGTCACTAAAGGCGGGTTCAGAGGCAGCCAGTAGTTTAGTAGAGTAAATTTATTTAGTCAAGTGTGTTTTTTATTCACACGAGTCAAGTAAATTAGTAGAGTAAAGTCGAGTAAAAAAAGGTTCTACACAAAGCTAGTGTCTAATCATGTCTAATCTGCGCGCTAATCGGCTTTTCTCTGTGGTGGGGGCTGCTACTAGACCAAGAAAATAGTAAAATAGAATAGAGTTCTATTTACTAAACTCGACCGTGTACTCGACTGCCAGTGAGCTCGACTAAAACAAAATGTGTTCAAATGGATCAAATCACTAAATTACTCAACCACTTGACTAAACTACTGGCTGCGTCTGAACCCGCCTTAAGAAAAATGTATGGTAACTTTCACTTTCAGTCAGCTCGTATAATAAAAAACTCCCTATATCTCATAAACGACAAAACTTTTCGTCTTAACATTGAACGACGAATCGCTTACAACAATATTACTAATTACTTTGGAAATACCCTGTATAACTGAATTAATTAGGCATATAACTTCAATTTAGGCTTGATTGTGTCTAATTTCATCGCGCCGTATCTAACCGTTATGCAACAGTAAATAAAATGTGATTAGTTAGCTTCAGATAGTGGTAAATTTTGATTCGATATTAATAGAGCAAATTAGAAATGGCTTGAAAATTGCGAGCGCCCATCCCAGCGGTGGGAATTAATTATATTCTGAATAGGCCTAATTCGAAAACCGTGTCATTAGGGTCAAATTGAGACGTGTTTAACGACTTTGTATACACTAAATTAAGTGTTTGCTAAATTAATTCGATTTTAACTTCGAGGGCTGAACTATAACGATGTAAAGTGTGGTTTGATTTATGAAATTTCAACCATACACGTGACTATAAATAAGTCAAGCTACAACTATGTTGATGCTGATTTAACTTTTTGACAATATATTATTACCTAGTGCTTACATTTTTTTACGCCATTGTGCATCTAACAGAAAATCTATGTGAAATAGTGGTAAATTGTACGAATTGAAACGAAATTGGTCATACAAATATACAGGGTGTTTCAAAAAAAGGTAGCCCCATTGCTAGGATAAATAGAACACTGCAAAATAAGTTGGGTTTGCTCAGTAAACAGATTTCATAACGGCATCCGTTTTGAAGATACAGGGTATTGAAAAAATATACAAATCATGTCGAAAATACTGGGCAACATTAAAATAAATAGAGGGCGCTAGTTACACGGTTCGTACCGAGTAGTTTTAAATATAACTTTTGAGGTTAAATTTTATAATTCAAATTTTATGTGAACTCATCATATCATTCAATTTTACACCAAAAAGTTACTTTGTACCGTTTTCGGAATAATTTGATTTGAAAATGATGAAGTAATAACTGATGCTGGTATAAATTAAGTATTTTTAAAAACAATCACTTATTTATTAAAAACCAAAAACAACATTATTCTAATGCTAATGTTATTAATTAAACAAAGAATCACAAGAAACATTTAAATAAATTTAACCAAATACATTAAGTATTCAATCATTTAGTTCAAAATGGTTTCTGTTAAAAAGTTTAGAGTCTGTCGCAAACCTCACAATGGTTTTGTCCGAGTTAAGCCTTGGTTTCTTTGGACATTCCGTCGCGGTGAGCGGATAGTCCGTCGACCGTCGCGTTTTGACTATTTTATCCAACCAGAGTATTTAAATGGGAATGGTTTTCTTGAATCCGCTTAGCTGAGCAGGACGGCGTCATGCCGCTGATTTGTCGCGACTAGTCGGTTCATATCTTTGATATCAGCGGAATCGTCGTCGTATGCGGAGCCAGTTTGTGAATACAAATAATTATATTATTATTTTTAAAACAATGAGAGGAAAATTAACACATGCAAATGACTCTATTTGTAGGTTTCTTAGAAATGTCGTGTTTTATAAAACTCAATACGAATTCAAAAAGATCTGTACAGAGTATAAAATACTCCCTAAGTTTGGTTCCATTTCCAAAAAGCCTCCGCTGCACAGTGATATTAAAGGCACCTTCTGTATCGCGACACAAAATCAACTTATTCACTGGCTTATTAGAAACATTGATGGTTGCAATTCCCAGTTCCTCTTGTTCTTCCAACAATAATAAGAACGTAAACAATTTATTTGCGTCCATTTTAGTACCTTTCGTTTACATCCATAATACATAAACAGCACGTACAGACATAGAGAAGGTCTCACTTTCTATATTTTTTTACAAACCACCTTGGGCGAAAATCGCTGTCCTCTGGTCGACGGACTGTCCGCTCACCGCAACAGAGTGTTCAAAGAAACCAATGGTTTCGCTATGAAAAACTGACATTTATTGATAATTAAGACGGTAGTGTCTATAACATTGAATATTGTTGATAAATTCGTTAATTAATAATAAAAATTCAAATGTTGAATACACCAACATGTAAAGGTACATTTACATCTGACATTTATTGCATGGGATTTATGTCTGACAGTTGTTTAGTCCAGTGTAAACACAAAAATTTCCCTCGGACATTTATTTTTGAGTGTTTACACTGGACTAAATAACTGTCTGACATAAATATCATGCAATAAATGTCAGATGTAAACGTACCTTTATTAACCGGTTACGCGTTATGCAAAAAGTTTCCCAGAAGAAACATATCAAATAAAAAAACGATCAGAGCAGTGGAACGATATTGCCAAGAAACTGGGAATGTGAGACCAAAATGAATTAACTCTGGTAGGCCTAGAAAAACAAGAACAATTCAGAAAGAGAATAGCATTTTAAATTTAGTTGATGAAGATTAGCAATTAGCGTAAGGAATATAGCACGACAAATAAATACGTCTTCTGCAAATACTTGGAGGATACTTAAGGAGCAGCAGCTACATTTATATCACTACAAACAAGTCTCTTGTCAAACGATCTACCAGATAGAGTGGATTTTTGTGAAACGTTACAAGAAAAGACAGCCCTCAATCTCTTTTTTTTTTAAATGTATCTTTTTCGCCGACGTTACCATCTTTACGCCACAAGGAGTGTTTAACTCTCATAATACCAGAAATAACAGAGATATAAGCAGTCATTAATAAAATATAATATTCACGATGCCAAAATTGAGTCGACAACATAACACTCTAGTTGTAGGGACGGGGTGAGGCGACCAAAAGTGAGACGTAAGAGAAGGGAAAAGAGAAAAATTTTACGCAGATATAACTTATTTTTATGAATGAATAAATGTGTAAGACGCTGTGCGCTTATAATAAACAAAGTAAATATCATCACTATTATTGTATTTTTTATTTACTAATGAATATTGTAACTATTATTTATTATAAATAAAAATACATGGAAAGGCATTCCTAACATTATTACTACTGTTATATCAAGGGTTGAGCCAAATTGCCATTTCGTGAATTTAAAAGCTATTCTTGAGTTATTCATACTAATATTTTATTGGTTTTTTATAGTCATGTCCCAACATCTACAACCAGTACATTATGATTACCCTCTTCCACCGGAACACTACTTCGTAGAAGAACGTGACGTATATCCGGAAGACTACTGTGACGGCGACTGTGTACCCCAAAATGTCACTACCGTTCAGGCAATACCATCAAATATGATAGGAGAGTTGTACAGCAGAAATCCAACAATAGTACCAGTACGTTTAGTAACGTATAATAGAAAAACGCCGCACATCGTACCCAAGCAGCTTTCTGAACAATATATTCAACAGTAAGTGTTTAATTTAATTACCACCATCATCATAATTCTTTTTTTTTTAATCATGTCAAATACCACAATTGTAGAGAGTGACTCACATTTTTAACATAGACCTTTGCGGGTCTGAGGGAAAAAGAAATCGACGGGTCATAGGCGTGCGATTATTATTAAAAATGAGATCTCCAGCATTTTAGAACAAATTAGTTGTCATAAAAATTATTTTCCTATTTTAAAGATGCACAAGGTGAGGAAAACCGGTAATAATTATTATTAAATAAGTATATATAAATTCTATATACGAGCCCTGTCTCAGTGAAGTTGCCTCAACTGCCAAAACCATATTTTTTAAAGAAATTTGCCATATTAACGAAAAACGTATTAAAAACTATAATATTTATGATAACATATGATATGTTTATTTAATTTTAGCCTAAAATACAATTTTTTTTTTTTTTGAAACAGAAAAAAATCAGATAAATTCAAAAAACTGTATATTTAAAAAAATACGAAACCAAATAACAGCAAATTACCGTTGCGTTACATCGCCTTTTCGACTGATTACTGATTCGATACACCTTGGCATAGTGTCAGTTAATGTTTGGCAGTCATCTGCTGTAAAACTGTTCCAAATTTCTTGAAGACGGGTTCGCAATTCTAGAACGGTTCTTGCAGGATTTGATCTGAGCTTTTTTCCTGATATGCCACAACGTTTCAATAGGCGATAGATCTAGACTACTGGACGTCCATTTTAAGAGCTCTTTCACACGAAGATACTGTATGCGAGATACGCGTATCCGAGATTCAGGCTGAACATACATTCAAATGGACCTTTTCACACGGTACGGGCGACGCATACAGTATCGCGATACGGAATTTCTGTATCACGGCACCTTCAACCGCGGAGGCTGAATGCGTATGCCGCATACCGCATAACTATTACGATATATGGACCTTTTCAGACATGGATACTTTTGCAACGGAGATTATATCATAGGCGTGGGATTTTTCAATGGTAGGTATCCTGAGTGCATTTAGTTTATTCGATTAAATTGTAAGAAAACACATAATTTTGAACATTTTCCTATAAAGCAAAATTTAAAAAAATATGTTCAGCGATTCAATTAGATGCATAAAGAGTTTTTTTTTTTTAATTAATTCACAAATAAAACATTAACCTAAACTGCAGAATTATATATTTTTCACCGTCTTCTCTACTCATGTTGTATGTCCAGTTTTTTAATATTAAAGTAATGTACTCTACAGATGCCTTTGTGTTTATGAGTTTTGACTTTATGATTTGGAATATTGTTTATTATTATCCATCTATTATCTATCCCATTCGTCGAAAAACCTCAAACCCTGTTTGTTTTGCACATTTTTATTTTTCAAATAAAATTAAAGTTGAATGATGTAAAATACTCAGGTTTGTTTAGAGTTCGGGTCTACTAGAATATTATACACTTTTTTTAAATAAATTTAATATAAACGTCAAAACTAAATAATTTTAAAAGACATTCTGATTACCTAATTTGTTATACTATTGCCGCGTTTGAAAATCCACATCCGATGCATTTTTTACATCTCGAGCGTTTTTTTATCCACTTCGCACACATCTGCGTTTGTTTATCCCTGATTAAATTTTTTACATCTCAATTTGAAATGAGATGTGAATGAGATGTTCGTTCCATACCAGAATGTAAGTGTTCTGTGTCGCCAAGTTTGTCAATTTATCCTTTGTTTATGCTAGCATGAATATAAAAGTGATTAGTTTGTTTATTTTTCATTAGATTTCAAGTTTAGGTTGATTTGTAGTCTCAGAAGTCAAATTTAAAAAGTATACACTTCTAACTTGTCATTGACATTTTATCACGTGACCAACAAAGTTTAGACCGTTTGTTTATTACATCTACAATCAGATCTAATTCTCTATCACGTGATAAAAAATTCACAACATCTCAGATGCATCCGATGTGGATTCTCAAACGCGGCATATGTGTTACTGTTATTAGTAACCCTTATAAAGTAGTGATGGAGAATATAGTTTTAGACACCGAACAATTTATTAGTTTGGTGTAGCCTAATCCCTGTTCATGGGATCCAGGACACACAGATTTATTTTTCTTAATATACAATGTCACACGTAAAGTGCGCGTCATATGAGATTTTTCTTTTCTAAATGATGTAGATAAATTTTTACTTTCCCATCATTTGTTGCTTCAAAAATGATAATGAATGACATGCAAATGGTCAATAACTTTTTGTAAATGTTAAAATTCACATATATACCACAGTATAATACACTCTTCTAGATCCATAATTCAAAAATCTATGCACGACACTGTGACTATTTTAGTACTGATTGAAGAGATGCGTGAATTCGATACAGCAGCCCAACTTTTCGACTGCGATTCTGTATCTCGGATACGCGTATCTCGCATTCAGTATCCTCGTGTGAAAGAGGGCTAAAAGTGGAATATTGTTTTCTAACATCCACTTTTACTTTTTTAGCCGTGTGACAAGTGGCACCATCTTGCTGGAAGATACATTCCATATTATTTAAACGCATTTTTTCCTTTTGGGATTTTAAGTTATTTTAAAGCCCATTATTGTACTTATCAGTATTCATAATACCTTCTACAAAGTGTAAGTTTCACACTCCTTTAGCTGACATAGTTTTCCAAATCATAACAGAAGCCGGAAACTTAACTTTCTTTCTAACACAGTCATTCTGAAACATTTCTTCTTTTGTTCTTATGAAACGACTCCTCCAATCAACAATGCATACTTTAAATCTGGCTTCATCATTCCAAATAATGGAGTTCTATTGGTGCGGAAACCATAACTGATGTTTCTTTGCCCACGCTAGTCTATTTTTTTTCTGAATATTTGTCAGTAAGGGCTTCTCTTTTGCCTATAAAATATTGAATTAAAAAAAAACAAAAAGCAAAAATTATTCAAGCATACCTTCTAAGTTTTAAATCTGTTTTCCCGTTGCCTGATTTCATAATATTTTCAATTTGTTATAACTAGAACGCCGATTTACTTGATAATCCTTTTTAAAGCTCTTAAGTTGGCATTGGAATATTGCGGATAATTTCCAGTTCTCGGTTTTTGAGCCACATATCCAGTTGTTTTGTACAGTTTAATAATATTTCGAACTGTATATCTCGATTTATTAACACTGTCGCCGATTTGGGAAGAATTTTGACCCTTCAAATGAAAGAATTATCACTTTCCTTATTTCGTCAGAAACAGCTTTACCACGAGCCATTTTTAGGTGTTAACAACACCAATGTACGAAAGTTAATTAAAACGTCAAAATCGGCTTCTTAGCAACGTCAAATATATTTTGTTTTACGAAGCCTGCCTTGATTTTATTGAAGCCAATAAACCGACTATTTAACTTAAGTTGTCTCCATCATGTATTTTGCCAAACTTAAATCATTTTACAAATAAAACAATTTCGAAATAAAAACTGTTCATAAATAGCCACGCTGGTCTTATTATATTTCCATAAACATTTAAACAAACCAAAAATATTTTATTTTAAACAAAATTTCAATTTGCCCTGAGATAAATTCACAAATATCATATTTTGTGGGATTGGGCCAACTTCATTGAGACAGGGCTCGTATATTTTTTATATATCCCTGTTAGAAACTGTAATAGTCTTTTAAGATGATAGTAATAGTAATAATAGTTCAACATCTAATACATATTTGACATATTTATCTTTATGACACCGTGCTAAGTTTAGTAATTCGATTTTCAAAATTGGTTCATTGAATTTAATATTTTTCTTAGTAAGCCAATTTGAAATCTGGGCCTTTCTCTATTTGGTGGCTAATAACTGTTCTACACGTCGGCTGTGGTATGTAGCGTTATCCATAACAATAACAGATCCTGGTTCGATTTTTAAAAGAATATCTGAAAACCATTTTTCATAATGTTCTGCATCCATTTCCTTATGACAATCTTCAATCGTTTTAGAAAAAATTGCGTTTAAACCTTCTTTAACAATCGCTACCAATATGGGTAATAATAAGGCGTTTTCCCTTTCTATTACAAACAATTCCGGTCTCTGCTTTATGCAATCCCTATCAGCGCGCCTATGACACTGCTTCGACAATAACATCCAAGAAAATTTCAAAGGCGTTGTTGTCAATAAAGTCGCTTTAATCTGCGATGACAGTGTGGTTCTCGGACATTATCTACCCTTAGATAAAGATGCAAACTACATGCTGACAACGTTCCAATTTACCACGAACTTTTAATCGCTTGGAAGACGTTTCAACAGTTTAAAAATAGACCAGTCAAATTATTAAAATTATTTTAACAAAATGATATCTATTCTGGAGGTAAATAATAAACAAATGAATTAATTATTCAAAAAATTTATAAAGATAGCGATCTTCTCAATTTTTTTGAAACTATCTGAACGTATAGTCTTTGAAGAGTAAGTAGAAGAAAAAGGTTTCAGTAGTAGTAGAAGAAGAAGAAGAAGAAGAAGAAGAAGAAGAAGAAGAAGAAGAAGAAGAAGAAGAAGAAGAAGAAGAAGAAGAAGAAGAAGAAGAAGAAGAAGAAGAAGAAGAAGAAGAAGAAGAAGAAGGTTATTGTAAATTTGTTGGAAATTAAATAAATTTTACCCCACTAATTTGTTTATTAATACTGAATATTTTTCGTTTTGTCGGTATTTAAAAAATCAACAACTATTAAAAATAACTTTTGTGGTATTCTACTATAGGTTTGGAATTATTTAAAATCACAAATCGAATTTTTAAGGGTTAAATAGGGCTTTTAGGATGGGTTTGCGTGCAAATTGGCGCGAACGTAATTTCAATAACTTGATATCACTGATTTTCTAAGATATAGAAATGTCCATTGCATTATAATACAATTATATACGTGATCTTTTACATATTTCTGCTAATACCTTATACATTATTAGCTTGACAACACTGTCTCGATGTTACTAACAACAAACCGCTTGTATTAAAATTGTCTAGAATTTATTCTTAGATTTCGACAGTACAATCATTATATTTAGATATCCTAGTAGATCAACCTTATGGACGTTTCATTGAAGGCAATTCTGCCGCGACATCTGTTAGAACTGTACAGAACTTCATCAAATGGCTCGTGTACTAGACGCTCCCTCGATCATTGAGTATAGAATTCTATATACATCAAATTTTCTTAATTTTTAAATTCATGGGGTAGACTGCCAAATTTAAATTAATATTGTTTATAATCTCTAAAATGATGATAAATCGTAAATAAATGTTCATCAAGCATAATTAAACTTACATATCTCATTTTTAAAACAAATATTCTGAATCGATTATGGTTCCATCTATTAGTAAATAGAGAAATTACTTTCGTTATTCAGTTTCGACATCCGTTCGATGGCTCGGTAGAAGACGACAAAATTATCAGAGACATGACTTGGACACCACGGAGCTTGCTGCCATCTATTGATACTGTCCATTGTCCTCCAAGATAATTTGTATTGGTATTGTTCTACTAGTTAATCTAAATACAATGATACAATCAACCAGATTATCAGTGCTATCAGTTAAGCATAATCATTATGGTGTTTTAATTGGAACATTTTTTTTATTTTCCAAAAATAAATAATGATTTGTATAAAATTTTGTATTTGTCACAAATAAATTGTTCCAATAATATATAATTTTTAATTTTTTTAAAGCTGGTGCCACTTATATATAGATTTTTCCAAAGCTTAATCACAATTCATTTCTAGAAAATGGTGGTATTTTCTTTTTTCTCTACATAGCATCGTTTTTTGTAGACCACATCACAACAGGAACTCCCCATCTCCAAGGTCATATTACTCGAAACATTGTGAACCCACAAGAGACTATTTTCATAACACCACCGTATCCCAGCATGAAATGCATTATGGTACCAAAGCATACCAAAGCGCGTTTCATAACGTAGAACCATTTCCTTCGATAAATTGTAGAAGTAATAATCTAGAAGTTGAATATTCTAGAATACCAAGGCCTATTGGTTCTAAGAAGTTTCCTATTACTTTTGCCACGCCAAAGTAAGTTTCTATTAATAATAATATTTCATTAAGTAAGAAAGTTATCCATGTATCACATGTGCTCTATCCTTAAATGAACAATTGAAAATCATGGTCGTAAGTTTTTGGATACCCTGTATACAAAATGAAAGATATCATAAACATGATGAGTTGCAACAAAACTAGAGTACTACGAAACTATTCTAGCCTTGAGATATTAACCCTCAATTGTTGACTCTAAATAATACAGGGTGACGATTTTATTAAGATTTTCACATAAGAGTGGTCATTTCTTTAAAAGTACCCTGTAGAACCTGATAAAACCTTATATTGCCGGAATGGGAAAAAATTAGCAAAATTCAAATTCGAGATAACATATAGGGTGATTCACTAAAAAAAACAACTTTGGTATGCTGTGACTTTATGAAACATCCTGTATATTAAGAAATAATTTTAAAATGTGGAAGTAGACTCTATATTTAATTTGTATTTAAAACTTTTGTTCGTATCCCTTAAAACAACGGAGATATCAAACTCCAGAGTATAAGTTGATAATAAATATAATAAATATAATATATACAATAAATATAATAAATATAATAAATATAATAAATATAATAAATATAATAAATATAATAAATATAATAAATATAATAAATATAATAAATATAATAAATATAATAAATATAATAAATATAATAAATATAATAAATATAATAAATATAATAAATATAATAAATATAATAAATATAATAAATATAATAAATATAATAAATATAATAAATATAATAAATATAATAAATATAATAAATATAATAAATATAATAAATATAATAAATATAATAAATATAATAAATATAATAAATATAATAAATATAATAAATATAATAAATATAATAAATATAATAAATATAATAAATATAATAAATATAATAAATATAATAAATATAATAAATATAATAAATATTATAAATATAATAAAATAAATAATCAATTTTAATATTTCAATATTCTATATAAGCAGAACTACATAATCCTAATAAATTAGGCAATGCGGCATGAATCGTTATCTCCGTTGTGTCTTAACTTAGCGAATGTCGCCGTTTTCGCTATTCCTGTCGATCTGTACCACAAACTTCCTAGATTGTCACGGACAAATAAATATCCTACCAATTAAATGTCTTCTGTTTTATTAGAGAACATACTCCAATACTAATTCCACGACGATTTTCCTAGCAGTTAACCCAAGACCTATTAGAGCTGTTAAATAATCATTAGGCCAATTTCCGAATCTACCTATTCCTCTTCCGGAATTTATATAAAACCGAATAGCGACAAATCGTTTAGAAACTATTCCCGAGTAAAGGAAATCCACCGATATTACGGGCATAAATCCGTGATGTATGCAGCAGCTATCGAAGGCAAATTTTAGGTGCTTTCCTATACCTTACTTATTCAAACTATTATTCGGCTTATCTAATGCACGCTTCGTTGTTTATCTAAAATGTGTATTTTAGGTAATAAAATTGATAAACGATTGTTGCAAAAAGAAAACGCAATTTTTATTCTATTTGTATAGGAAGAAACAATAAAGATCTTTAGTTTTCTAAGAAAACTTTAATTCGTCCATTTAATAATATTAATAATAATAAATGCTTTTATTGACATTATACATACATAGATGACATGTCAATTGGCAGGGTTCAGTGTTCCTTAAAGGTAGATGAACTGCCTTTAAGTAACTCTGCTCTTCCATCCAACCATGTACATTTAATTTTTGTACAAGAATTATCTACTTAAGTAACAAAAAAACTAACTAAACTTCTAAAAATAAAAATAAGAGACATACTAAAAAATCAGAGAACAACAAAATATATATTATATTAAAAATCTGGTGGTGTCATAACACTATTTAGTAAATCAGTCTTCAACTGTTTCTTAAAATTTAATTTATTACGGCAATTACCATGTTTGTCATGAAACCAATTAAAAAGATGAGCGATTTGATATTAAAACGAACCTCTGTAAGCACGTGTTCGGTGTAATGGTATGGTTAATCTATTTTTCCAACGAATATTTCCGTTATGTACGTCTGTCCTAAATCTTATTTTGTTGTAAAGATACGGAGGTGTTTTCTTAGAAATAATTGAATTAAACTGACAGCAAGCGTTCAATACTCGTTGTTGAATTTTGGTTAACCAACCAATTCTTTTAATATGGTGCGAAATATGTTCCCTTTTCCTAATGCCACAAATTAAACCTACACATGACTTTTGTATAACTTCTGTAATCGATTGGAATCAAAGGACCCCGCACTTTTTATAGGGAAAAATGGTTTCAGTACCAAGGTTTAATTTTTGGTGTAAAATGTAGATCTCAACATCCTAAACAAAAAAGATAATGGGCACAAAAAATCTACCGTCAGGATTTTTCGCTATGGGCCATAGAAGGTTGGTACATGGGTTTTTAGGTTTCGGGTCATTTTTATCAAAAAAGCGTGCTCAGTGGTCGATTATGAGGCCATGCATGCCTGGAGGTGTGTTAGAGTGTTGCTCAAACCATCAATGTGGGTTGCACCTGATGGATATATACTCAATATTGAAGGACTTTATTTTTCAATCGCGGCAAATAACGACGCCCAAATCCTGATCGATGGATTCAATCGGAGGCAGAGACTATGAGGAATTAGTTTAGAGAGTGAGATATTTTGGTTGTGGATCGGGGTTATCGCGACGCTGTCCCGATGCTAGGAATTAACGTGAAGATGCCAGAATTATTGCATATGGGCGAACGACAACTTAGTACAGAGGGGGCAAATCATACGAGACTCGTTACTAAACTCAGATGGATTGTGGAGGCCCGCAATTGTCAATTGTCTCATCAAGCTTCTATTCAAATTCTTACATCATGTGATTCCGACTTTACACCTTCCGAATCTTAAAGAGTTTCTCCTGATATTGGGTGCAATAATTAATAAATATCACCCGCGTATCGTTATGCAAGGTGCAACAAGGCAAGAAGCTGAAAGAATGGTTGCTCGGGCACAAGAACCAAATGTTGTTATGGCACTGGTAGAAATGGAAATCGAAAAGGGAATTAGCATCAATTACTCGAGGCTCAGGGTCTTGTATTTCCTCGGCTGGGTTTGGCGGAGCTCCAAGATTTAACCGTTGGTGTATTTCAAATTCGCTTGACGCGATCCTATATGCAAGATAATCTTGGTGATGGAAGACGAGCAAAGCATCAAGTAGATTTGGATGGCCAAGACGGGTTGCTTCGAGTAAGAACTTTTTCACGATACACTGGCGGCGTAAGACATCAATTGTGGATTGCGTTTACTAACGAGCCCGTTGAAGGTGATGAAAATGCTGTTGTTGGATACTACTGTACTTGTCAAGTTGGGGCAAGAACACTGGGTACATGCTCACATAATGCTGCTGTGGCCTGGTTTCTGGGGTATGCGAGACAGTAGGAAAACGTCAAGTATCCACCTACAATACTCGCGTCCGCGATGCCAGAGCAAATGCCAATAATCACGTTAATATCAAAGTAGTTGAGATGGAATAGTTTATGGAACATCATTGGAGTATAGAGCTATTGGCGAAGAACCACTATAAAAAAGCTAATGTGCCTCATTCGGAACCTCAGTAGGTGGTGTGGAAGACCGGAATGGACATTTTTTAATCTCGTTTTTTTTTGGCTCATTTTTTTTCTATATATATATTATATAGTACTTTTTCACTCTAACACACCTCCAGGCATGCATGTCTCCATAATCGGCCATTGAATACACTCTTTTTTGATAAAAATGACCCGAAACCTGAAAACCCAGGTGCCGACCTTCTATGGCCCGTAGCGCAAAATCTTGACGGTAGATTTTTTTGTGTCCATCACCTTTTTTGTTCAGGATGTTGAGATCTACATTTTCCACCAAAAATTAGACCTTGGGACTGAAACCATTTTTCCCTATAAAAAGTGCGGGGTTCTTTGCGGATGTTTGGACCATAAACCACATCACCGTAATTTAAGTGCGATATAACTAAACTATTACATAAAACCATTTTAGAGTTAAAAATCAGTAATTTTCTGTTAGAATATATTAATTTTAAATTACTAAACCCTCTCTTAATAATCATAGATAAATGTGACGAGAAATTTAATTCAGAATCTATAATGATACCTAAGTTTTTACACTTGTCCTTAATGGACAGTGGCTCATCGTTTACCCTAATTCGTACTTTGTCAAGGCATCTATTCCGCTTCACTCGTCTGCCGAAAAACATTAGATTCGACTTTTTAGCATTTATAGAGAGTCCTATTTTAATAGAGTATGAAACTAGTGAATCCAAATCATTGTTGATTATATTAATAGAACTGTCTGTTTTTTTTATCAAAAACATAATATATCTGACTATTATCAGCATAAAATAAGTGGCTTGAGGAGTTTTTTAAGGATTTGTATAATTCTGAGGTATATATTATAAACAGTAATGGACCGAGAATCGATCCTTGGGGCACCCCATTTATAACACTTCCAATTGGATACTTTTTGAGATTACGTATTTAAAATTTTTCTCAAATAGGACGTTATCGCTGTGTATTGTAAACTTTTCGAAAATATATTTACGGACAAAATGCATTAGGTACATAGTTACTACCGAACGCTAAGTGAGCATAATTTTTACACGATAATAAACAAAATTTCACTTAAACGATAACGTCTTCCAAGTTGCAAGGTTCGCAGGGCATATCATTAACATACTTAAATTTGTGTCACGGAGCAGAATGAATGAAAAGGGAACAGAGTACGGTGGCGAATCGTTTCCTTTGCCACTTATTAGAGGCAGTTTATCAGGATAGAACGTTAGTGTGCCGCTGCACCATAAATTTAAATTACTTTTCGAAACTTCCTCTCTCGCAAAGTAATGCCTGATTTCCATCAATGTGAATACAAACACACGATAAGTGGTGGTTTCTTCATTAGAAACTGTACGGTAGAGTACAACAAAATGAGTATGATT